TTTTTCTGACCGATGTCAGCTGATATACAACTTTACTTGAATTGAAATTTTAGACAGAATCACTGCAATCTAATTTAAATTATTTAGCACCCTAATGCTGATTACTCACAGCCAAATAAATTTTTCCTATCAAGAGAGAATTATAGAATCTGCACGATTTCAGTGTGAAAAAACACACACATGTGACTACACGTTTCTAGGCCAAATAAACATATGTCACGTTACCATATAATCGATTCATTATAAACATTTATCATCACACATTCAACAAGCAAATATCTGTTTGCCATGGTAATTTCACATATTGAAAAACAGTCAACAGGTATTTTTGCATACACCAAACGCAACTAAAAGCAAGAGAGTAAATTGCTGAAGAGCACTTAGATTACATAGAAATACTGACAAAGTGTGTGCCCCAATGATAAGCTTAGAATCTTAATAGCTGTTAGTGCAATCGGAATCCTAGGATTTTGTAAAACTTTTTGGACCATCCGCTAATGATCGAAAGGTTCATTAAACAAATTTTACTTATAGAAAAAGGTTATTAAGTGGCACTAAATAATTGCTCAGTCAATGTACGTATATGTGATAAAAGTCATAAGGGGTAGAGTTGAAGTGGATAAATTACAAAAATATGAACAATCTTTCATATTTTTGTAATTTATCCACTTCAACTCTACCCCTTATGACTTTTATCACATATACGTACATTGACTGAGCAATTATTTAGTGCCACTTAATAACCTTTTTCTGTAATATAAATACGACTGTACAGCTTGAAAATGAAGTCGTTGAAAAGAAATTTCTTCCTAAATTTTACTTATTCCTGATGCACTGATATGAACATCATCAATAATGAAATGATTTTGAAGTAACAATTGATTTCATAATTTATTGAAAAAATAAGCACCTTTCAGTGTCTTTCTATGATTATAAAATACCAAGAGAAGTAATAACCAGCTAGTTGATGGAATCGATTCAAAGAACGTTTAATAGTGGTAAACTACAGTACAACTGTGTGCGTCGGTGGCACAACGGTTATGACTCTCGCCGACCATGCATATAGTCCTGGGTTCGATTCCCTGCCGACGCACACCTGATATCTATGGTCGGCCTGCAAAATTTGGGCGACCGATATCACATGCTGTGAATTCCATGCCTGTACAGAAGAGTACGATGTGGAACCAAGCTGTAATCAACGAAAAAATAAATAAATAAAATACTTTACACGCAACCACTTGTGCTTCCTTAACTGAACGATGAAGTACCTACACTAGTCATCTCTTATTGTAATAGTCAGTTCAAATCCTCCTAAGTGGTGTCAGTTATATTGGGTGTTGCTCGAGGAACTTATTTTATCGTGCTCAGGAACACCAACCAATGTGGCTGAATAAAATTGTGATTGTAACCATCAACAGTTCCATATTAGATCACCTCGTTCAAACAGACCACTACATCTATCGAGTATAAAGTAAATTATCGAAGTCCTCTAGATACTAGGCATTCCAAACAGAAGAGGCCATTGCAGTTCGGTTAAATCAATCGGAACTCTGAGTGCAAAGGAAACGACTACAACCAATACTGCTACCCTGACCTGCTGCCGAACCTGAGGATTCATAAATCATGTGATACTATTGATTCAATGTAATTTAAAACAGCATTAATGTTGTCAATAACAATAATGCTTTAATTATTATGATCATATAACCATCGAACGTCCTGAAGATTTTATCGAAAAGAATATTCTTTGTTCACCCATAAGTCTTTTAAATAAAATAATGGATTCTACTTCCAAGTGTTGGGTTATATATGTCACATCGATTTCAGGTTAGACATCGTCACATTAACTAGAGAACCATTGGAAGCTGGGGGCTTCTAGATAGCCGTCTCGTCCTACTTTGAGACTCCTCAGCAGTTTTTATTAGAGGTCCCACAAACTTAGTACCTTAAGCTTACCAAAGGAGGCCACTTAGCCACTGGGTAGGAATACAATGATCTATGAATTCTAACTTCTAAGGGCTCATGACATAGCACCAATGCGGCACCTCCCTCACACCTGAGTTTGATCCCTGCGGAGGTGTGGTTGGCGCGTATTGCTGAATAGTCTCAAACTAGGTCGAGACAGCTGTTCAGTAGTTCTCTAACTAATATCCGTCCATATGGAAATCTACTATGTAGTAAATTATATTCAGAGACGATTTATTCAAAAAGATATGTGTGTACGCATACGTCGGTGTACAAAACAACTAAAATATAGCAAGGTGGTATATGGTACTGAATATGTGAGCAACTGAAAGCCTCTCACATCAAACAATAGTTCTTCCAAGTCAAATGGAAGTAACCAAAAATTGGTTGCCGTTTCGTTTATTTAGGGATGACTACATCAGATCACAGTATATTGTGACCTGTGAATGTTTTTGATTTCAAAAGAAACCATATTAAATTTTCCCCTTGAACTCTGTAATTTGCAAAAAATAAGGAGTTTATCGAATTAAGTGATATGTATCCACATATATATATATATATTTATGTGTATGTGTATGTTGGTCTCTCTTTCTGTTTGCTCGCTTAGTCTGTGACCATTTCACTTGTATGAACTTGTCTCCTTTAATAATGTGTATTCTCCTTATATTATATTATATATAATATGAGTGTTTGTTGACAGTCCGTTGCTTGGTGACATATATCCATACATGGTGATTGTTGACATGTCTGTTATATTTCGCTATGTATATGTGGATCGATACTTCATTATAATTAGCCATTCATGTTAAAACTGTCTAATGATTGTTCAAACCCTTGTCATATATATTTCGCTCACACAATTTGTGTGAATGACTTTACTTACTTATCACTTTGGTGTGAGACCATTTATTTTCGTCTCCTTGTGTTTGGACAATAGAAGTATCATCGCAAACCTAGTGGTCTTCTGATTTCCGCCTTCTTGCGTCAGGACTATTAGTTTCTCGACCAGACCATAACAACAATTTAGCGACGAGTACATAACATTAAGTAGTTTAAAATTTCACACAAAATTAATATTTCCTAGATTATTCTTGTTTTCGATTCAATGATAGGCCACTGTACTAAACCGAATTAAAATGTAATGCACACGACCGCCTGAATATTAGTATATGGAAAGATGGGTTTGAATCTACGACAAACTGATTAATGGTTTAGGTATTGAAAAGTACTGCGTGCAAACTTCACAAGTGAAAGGGAACCCAGAGTTAAGTTGAATGTTTTTACCTTGAATTCTACTGATGACAAATGTACACTTACGGCTCACTAGATTTGGAGATAAGTATTTCACTGATACTCTACAGTTTCATGATGTGCACAATGTATAAGAATATATGAAGTCATGCACTTTAAACATGCATCATAAAACCAGGTAGAGTTTGAAGTTAATGAGGTTGACGAGTTGTGTTAGAGACAGTTAGGAAAGGAGGAGAACAACTAATAAGCAAGACCAGAAATCAGAAAATAGTAAGTTGTGGCACACTAACGAGTAGTGTTACCTAGAGGTTAGTTCTATGATGGTTTTACCAGCCGAATACTTTTCGTAAACTAAAGATACACAATTTTTGTACTAGAAGTACTGTGAATTTTTCACAACAAAAGATATAAAGGTCAGTTAGCTTTCTGGAAACCCGAAAAATACACAAACGTATGCCCTGGGTTATAAGTCATATTCACTGTATGAAGACTTGAGATAGTGTTAGTATGTCATGTTGTATATCAGACACTTACTAAATGAGAGTCGGCTGACTAGTCGTATGACTTCACTCATTATAAGAATGTTATTTAATTCAATGATATGTACTGGAGTAGTAGTATAGCGATAGAACATGTTAATGATTTGATAGTAGAAGTGGTTATTTGACACAGTGATGCCAAAATACAGAAATCTTAGATCGGAATTTGAATCTGCACAAGTCCTTCGTATTCCGCTTCTTATGTCTTCATTTTATGCTTTCCATATTGTCTCACAGTGATCTTTATTTATTCTCCTCGCTATTCAATTCATAGCTCTACCACTGGAGACCCTTGTCAAAAACATTGCACACAACATACTATTTACAAACTCTTTTCAGTAGCATACATCTTCGGAGAATGAGAAATTACTTATTACAGTCGACTACTTCGACTAGCATGTTAACAGCTTCCATTGTTTGTCTATTAATCACGCCAGAAAGGATTTCATACCTTCAATGATAAGGTAAAAATGTTGGTCGTACACAAACAGGAATTCGTCACCTAAAGCAGACCTATAAGCAGAATCACTGTTGGGAGCAGTAGACTGAGATTTTCACTTTCCTTTTCGTTTGAGTTTTGTACTTTAATATCACGCCAGAACAATAAACGCATTAGAAACAAACATCTATCGGTATCGTAGATGATTAATCGCCACGCTCCGATTAGCTAAAGTTACGATATTACCGAGGCATAAATTAGATAATTTGGAATTAATTTAAGGTGGAACGCTTGAAATTTAATTTAAGTATGGTTTTGTTTTTGAATATAACAGCACCTAGCCTGTAAAAAACCGAAATGCAGTTGTTGCGATTTTATTTAAAATCAGCCAACACTTATCAGTTGTGGGTTGAAGGTCCAGTGATAGACTGCCTGTCAGCCGCACGCAAGGTTCGCGTTCGATTCCTGGCCGACGTACTCCTAAACCACCTGGTTTACTAACCTGTTGCAAGCCCAGAAAAGAGTGGAGGTTGAGCGTGAAGCTAGCAAAACCATCTCGTAAAAAGGTAACATTGCCATGACTACTGAAATGTCAAAATATGTAAGCATATGTCCCGTTCGGTACGCAATGAATGAAGAGAGTAATTACCAATTAAACTTAAATAGACAGACTTTGTGATTCTAGTGAAAAATTACGTTTTATTCAGCTTTTCATTGCCCTAACCTATTTCACAATAACTGGGTCAGAAGTATGCAATGCACGAAAAACTAAAATAAAGGTTAGTTTCAATGAAATCACTTACGTGGTCGACGTTGATAAGCAGCAAGAAAATATTTAGTCGGTAGACAGCCTTCACTATTTCCTTCACAAAGAATGACATTATTTTTTGATACATAAAATTTATAGCCATCATTCACTGCTTTCATCATGTCAATATAAATGACGATCTCAGCACTGGATCGCATACCACTGATAACACCTGATTCACCAACTTCTCCAGGAGCAAAATGTATATGTGTTCTACCCATACGTTTTAAGCCTTCCTTGCGGATACCATCCCAATTACGAAAGTAAGTTCCGTGTACAACAGTTGGGTAATCCTGAGGATTTTCAATCAATGTTATGTCAAGTCCTTCAATCTGTAAGATAGTGAAAAGTAGATACACAAACAATATACATTAAAACAAACTAATAGTCATATTTGAAATAAACTGCTGGCTATTAGTGAAAGTATCATCTGAATCCAATGTGATTACACGATAAAGGAACGAAGTGAGTATTAGAAATTAACAGAAGTGATAATATGATGTCTAGTGTTGTCCATAACTTCAGACAACAGTTATTGAATATAAAATATGAGAATTTTGTGTCGGGTCACTTAACTTTTGCTAGAGAGTTTCAACAAGTAATGGCGACTGAAGAGAATAGTACTAGTTGTTACTTCTGCAAAAGTTTATGTGAGTAGTCTAGGGAGTGAGTTGTAAGGGGGATATTTTCTACAATAGTACCACAGTACTATTTTTGTCAAGGGTTCTCAAACTATGTAGAGGTTACACGATCCCACGCTGATAAATTAAAAGAGTGGTTTCCTAAATAAAAATGTCTAATACTACAATTCATTATTTTATGTCATTCTTCAGAGTGAAATCACAACCACTGATATTGAACATCCAGTTTTGAATGAAAGTCCTAATCCAAAAGATATTCGAATGCAGGAAATATCGACATAGTACACAACTTATAGGCAATTAGCTAACTGTTGACATTAAGAATTTTGGGTATTTTCCGTAAGTTTAAATGACATCGTGATACATTTTCTTACCAGACGATGATGTACGAAGAAACATTGTAAACAAAGGAGTTATAGACAGTTTTTCTTTGCTGAAGTTTGGGATTCCTTAGTAGTACGCACATGACGTCTTTCATTTATTCGTCTGGACAACAACATTTCAACTAGAGACGGCACGGATGATGATGTCAAAGCCAGACATGATCAGAAAAGAAAAACAGATCTTGATTATTCTGTAATCCAGGAGTTTGTTGAACGTGTTACTTTGGGTATTTCTGTATTTATTGAAAGCAACTGATCTTTCCAAATTGGTTACTTTAAGTCCTCTTTTATAATCTTTGTTGTTCGTCATATTTTTCAGTTTAAACCTAAAGGCAGTTAGTTTTTCGGTAGTTCTTTGGAGTTATTCTCTTCAACATAGTTTGCTGATCTGTTTTTCTGCTGCTTTCATCTGATGCATATACAACGATATATGGGAATCATGCGACTTTTAATACATCGTAAGCTAAAATTCGTTCTTCAGTCTGCGACAGCCGTGTGAGTTTACTGATTACTTTCCGAACAGGAAACCCACAAGTATGATTAATATAAGAAGGAAGTTTTCGCACTTTGGTAGAATATAACTCCCCATATCAGATAAGTTAATCAGATATAACACACAGTGACAAGATGACGTTGTTAATCGTTGTTAATGACGGCAACACAATACCGAAATTCTACACTAACATTTTTTGTATTTAGATTATGGGATGTGGATTAATTTCGATTATTAGATTTCGTCACGGACGACCGTTGATTAGAGAGATCACTGAAAACTGGGGAGCACTGGACAGCTGTTTCGTCCTATTTTGGGGACTTTTGAAAAGTGCTCACCCATAACTCCCCCAAGGATTGAACATAATCAAGCTCCTGACCACTCAACCTTTTGGATTGGGATTCAATGAGCTATGAATTCTGACCTTGTCGTTTCGTGATATAACGCCACCCACACCAACAAATGCCTTCGATGAGCATCCACTTCACTTTGACACAGTGCATTGGCAAAGTTGGAATTCATGGCTTATTGAATTCCAACCCAGGTGGTTGAGTGGTCACCGAGCTTCGTCTCATGACCTGAGTTCGGCTTTTGGTAAGGTCGTGGGTGCGAGAAATTATCAGTATTCTTAACAATTTCATTAGTTAGGCAATGATCTTTTATGTCAACACACACTAAACAGTTGAAAATACTTTTTATAGATATAGTTGCATGAGAGCAACCATTCCACACTAAATTTAGAACAAAGTGTGTATTTGTGTAGTGGCGGCAACAGTAAAGAATAGACACCAACTTCAGACAACCTTGGAAGAACCAATCAGGTTCCAGGTGAAAAGTTTGCATTTATTGCACAAAGAATGTATTCATAATATACATATTGCAAGGACGAATTATAATTATTATTGTTAAGTCACAAAAACATATCGAATATCCGTTAACACAGAATTTGTGGGTCGTGTAACACTGATTGGGCAAAGTGAGGTATGTAAAAGCTCTTGAAATATACAATTCTATTTTTAGATGGAGGTGGCACTATATCGCAAAAATGATCGAAGAAGGGATTCATGCGTCAATGAATTCCAACTCCGTAGTCAGATGCTCAGCTGGCTCACCTCTTGACCTGAAGCTCTTGGGTTAGACCCCAGGCAGGGAGGAGTTACACGCTGACAAATAGCCTCACACTAGGACGAGACGGTTGTTCCATTCTTTCTACTTCTCTAAATGATGTGATCTGGTAATGAAACCTGCTTTGAAGTTAGTCAAACTCCTAGAGCATAACGGTTGAAAATTAAGTAGTTTTCTTTTCGTTTTTCGTCTTAAACCTGTGTATTTCTTCATAATGAACGTCAACATAACAGTTATTGGGCCTTGGATTACTAGCGATATACAGATATACTCATAAACGTTAATCAATTTCAAGATCACACTGAAGTTATGTGACCTGTGTATTACGATACAATGGGAATTACATTTATTTGGTCAACCATAGATAAGATGTGATTTCATTGGTCACCTATTTTGCAGTCTGTGGATTATTCATCTCAATAGATTTCTTCCTTAGTTATAATTAGTAACAAATCATCAGTTGATTTTGCAGTCTATATATAGTCGGTGTGAATCATGCTGGAGCATGTATCATTCTCCATTCCTAAAATAAACTAATTATTATTATTTTTAATCAGAAAAACAAAAGAAGACAAAATTGAATGTTTCCATCATCGAATAAAATGTAGGTCAATTAAATTACTTTCAACAAGAATGAATTTATTCAAAGAATTTATTTATGCAAAACTACGAGAATGCAACGTAAGAATGCAAAACAGATTATAATAAAAAGAAATGGCAATATATAAGTTTATGAATCAGCTAGTTAGCAGTCAAGTGTTGGTTTACAGGGTTTTGGTTGGTTTCAAGTTGGGTCACAAACTGAACCCAAACTAGGATAAGAAAGCTATTCATTAGCCCTTGACGGTTTTCACTGGTTCCCTAATTTTGAAGTCAGTTTTTGATCAAATTCGAACGTGGCAATCAGTTCACTAAACTGATATTATAAGCTAAAAAAAGTCTTTCCTGAAAAGAATTGATAATGTAGGTTAGTGAGAATCACAGTTTCACTATGGCTGTTTAATATCATAATAATAGAGTATCAGGTTAGTGATTATAGCTGTGTTGGGATAAGTTTCAGATGATAAGAGAGATTGCAGATGCATAATCCTGTTTGAAGGAGAATGGCAGTTTATAATAACGATAACATGAACAGTAGTTCGACATAAAGGTGTTCGTTTTAGAGCACGCTGCCATCCGCCATGATGCTTTTTTCTTAGCTTTTTTAGAACCTTGAAAGTAACTTGGTTTTAAACATTTTATGAACTCTTGAGAATATGTGACACGATTTGACGTCATATTTTGATAAATAAAAGGGAACTATGATAAATTAGATGCAATGTGTAGATGGAAAGACAGGTAGCCCAACTTTCAAACACACAGCCAAGGCTTAATGCTGATGTGTGTATAACCCAAACATAGGTTTGATCTTGATGCTCAGCACTAGTCCATTCACACAATGAAAGATGGAATACGTCAGTATACAAAATATAAACTATTGAGGTATGCATATCATTTTTGGCGTAACTAAGTGTAAATGTTTGGATATACTTTTAATTCACCAGTATGCGCACTGAGATGTAAATATCTAAATCACATCAATAATATATTTCAAGCCAATCCAAAGTTCAATTTAAAAAAAAAACAGAAGTATTTCTTACATTTTAAGTGCAAATATTAACTTAAAATGAACGTTGTTCTATATCTTGAAAAGTGAAATAAAGCATGTTTGGATCTCAGTTATCCAATTTAAGAGCCAAAATTATTGTATGAAGGCTGATTACATCCATGCAGCTGCTCAGGATGAATTACGTGAAACAGAGTTCAAATCTAGAACCCATTGGGCGAAAGTCGAGTGCTTCAGGCAGCTATCAACATCTCCACATAAATTACATTACCTATATATATATATATATACCAACTGAAACTTTCTGTTATTATGAGTAATTTCAACGAGGAGACCGTAGTTTTTAGGTGTTTTGAACTGAACGATGTTTTAGAGTTAAACTTCAAGCACCACTAACTACCAATGGAATGCGACCTCACCAATGACCTTGAAACGCTCACTGAGCATGTTAGTGAAATCCAGCAAATAATGTTGCCATCATCAATAAAATGTGCTCATCGAAGTGTTATGCTACTAAATGGGATATCTGGCAAGCTACAGCTTACGTTTGGGAAGGATTAAGTTACGCTTTCAGCCAAGGACAAGTTGGGATTAGGTTAACCTAATTAAGATGAAATTAGGGTTGGTTCGAGTTAGATTACATTTAGTTTAGGAATATTTTCACGTTAGGGTTAGGTTCAAGAAAGATCAGTGTTATTATTAGGCTTAGAAGACCTAAATAATTACATGCATAGAATGTGGCTAAATTACTCTATTGATATAAGAATAGAACTTGTGCAGTATGGTGGTAGAGTATAATTCCATGGAGGGTAAAATTTATTTGAAAAGTCTCACAATATATGCATTAATATTTACTGATGACAACGTTTCGAGCACAATTTATTGCTCTGTAAATATTACTATATAACTCTGTGAGACGTTATCAAAATAAATTTTACCCACAATGGAATTATATTCTGTTGATACTGCAACTTAAAACCGAGAGCTATTTTTATCACATGTGAGAGGAAGGTATCCTCTAAAACAATTTATACTATATTTATGCATTATTTCATATATATATATATATATATGCCTCCTTCAC